CTGTCAACAAACCTAGAACCACCTAAAATGCATCTTCAGATCCGTTCCCAGATGCTTCAACCCCCACTCACAAATTGTCTGAGGTGGCCTCATTAGCTCACATGACAGTTAAGTGGGACAGCGTCTTTCACACTTTGGCCCCAGTGAGTCAGGCCTTTTTTCACATGATTGGGTCAAGGATTCTCAGGACCACCTCCAAGGGGATAATCCTAACTAGGGGTTAAATATCTGGGATTCTATAGCAGTTGTTTTAGAACTAAAGGTGCTTCCTGGATGAGAGACAAACGGTATTGATGAACCTAAAGACGCCCAGTCGTTTCCTTTCTAAGCACTCAAGACTACCATGTCCTGGATGACTGAGAACTTACACAAACATATTCAATTTAAACCTGTAACTTATGTGAGCTTATCAAGTACAAAGCTTTGTTGCTCTGTTCTAGGATGATATTACAATATTAAGGATTAGAAAAAATGCTTTAGAACTGCTTTCAGCTAACAGAAACAAAAACATATGACTACAGTTTCTCATGAGCATCTACATTTCTTAATCGTGCTCACTGAGGAAAGACAAAAACTAGACCTTCCTTCTACCTGCGCACGTCCATGAGTCCATGAGCTTTTCCACAAGGTAAGGTCAGCAGCATAAGTTACCCTGGCAACGCACCCAGAGTAAGAACTGAACCACCTTTGCAAGACTGGAGACCCAGGGTTAACCCCAAAGTTACGTTGCTAAGCCACTAATCCTGCTTTGTAGTGCAGGCCTCTGGATAAATAATGGTTGCGGTTGGTTTGTCACAGCCTGACAAATGATTAAACCAGCTTGTGTAGGGTTTGGTTAGAAACGTCTGTTTGTTTAACACCACAGTGTCTGTTTAGTGTTTGTGATGATTGCTTTCTCAGGAAGGCCTGCACTCCAAGTCCAGCACGACATGGTGAACATGAGGTGCATATGACTTAACGTGCTCGATGTGCTGGATGTTTGTTGTCCACCGTGTACCAGTGAAGTCCTTTAAAAGAGAAGCGAAGTGCTTTGCCGTGTCTTCGGCCCAGGCCCGCCACACCTCTCTGTCTGCTTTCTTCCCAGAAACCTTCTGGGGGGCATCGCCGGCTGTACTGTGCTGTACTGGCGAGGTAACGTTCTGGTGTATATGTAAAACGCCTCCTGTTGCTCTCCTGAGCAGTCGACAGGCGACAGACCAGCCGTCCTCAGAGCTCGGTATGAGACCCAGGTTCACTCGGTCAGCGACGCCACACAGCTGGAGCTGGAAAAACAAAAGTTAGACAAAAAGAGGTGATTACAAAAACCTGTATAGCGTATCTTTTTTTCTAAAAGCGGAATAAAAGGCAATTACATTTTTATAATAATGTTAAAAACTCAAAAGAAACAGAAACTTGCTGGTCACACTTGCTGATGATCATTTAATCAAGAGGATTTAATTAGCAGTGCCTGGCTGATACTTGCCTTCTTAATTAAGGGTAAGTAAGGGTGTCGGTACGGCACACAGTCCTGAGAAATCTATCTCCAGTGTTGGGGAGTAACGGAATACATGTACCGCCGTTACGTATTTAAAATACAAAATATGAGTAACTGTATTCCGTTACAGTTACCGTTTTAAAAGGTGGTATTTAGAATACAGTTACTTTGTTGAAATAAATGGATTACACGGCGGTACTTCCCTGTTTCATATTGTGGCGGGTCAGGACTGTTTGGGTTTTGTTTGACAGCTACGTTCTGTTGTTCCAGGTGGCAGCGTTACGGTTGCCATGGTTACAGGGTGACGCTCTCTCTCTGCGTGTTTCCTGGGTGAGAGAGCGCCTGTTGTTGTTGTGCTAAGCTAATAGGCAGAATGCTACAGGTATAGCTCTAAAGAATGTAGCATCATAGGTGGTGTAGTCCGTGCTGCAGGGAGAATGGACTGCCATACCTGTTATGTGTCTGTGAGCGAGGGAGGGAGAAAAAGGAAAAGTAGGAGCTGTCATCGAGAAAAAACGGGAGCTGGAAGCATGTAAATATAATAATAACCACTTCAGCCAAGAAGAGTGCCTGACCAGCCCAGTTGTAAGTAAGCTATTAAAGCTAGTTTTCGGCTACGAGCCCAACACAGAACCCACCGTATTAGTCAGAGGTCCCTTTACTACGGTTTGGAGCCGCGGACCTTCAGTAACAGTAATAAATCACAGCAATAGTACATTCATGTAGTTGTAAACAGCATGATAATATATTAAGTAATCCAAAGTATTCAGAATACGTTACTCTCATTGAGTAACGTAACGGAATACGTTACAGAATACATTTTGGGGCATGTATTCTGTAATCTGTAGTGGAATACATTTTAAAAGTAACCTTCCCAACACTGTCTATCTCATAGTTAAAATAGATATAGTTTTTATTAGAGGTGGACTTTCTCTGATGAAATAATCATTTCCCAAGGGACCAATCTAAAACTGTAGTATATAAACACCACATGCGGCATAAGATATAACGAATCGATGAACTTTACTTGGCGATTATCTCCTTGGTGAATCGTGCAGCGGTCAGACACTCCGTTTGCCTCGAGGTTTTTCTTTAGAGCTTCGACTGCGTTGGGGTTCCACTCACAAGCATGAACGCGACTGGCCTTTGCATGCACCAGATATGGGAGAGTGAAGTATCCAATACCTGAAGTAAGGCACAGATGGGAAAATTAAACAACAATATGCATCATAATTTGGTTGTTTTTAGGTAGCACACAGCTGTAAGAGCAATAGTACATGAGCAGTGAACTCAGCTGCACCTCCATTTGATTCAGAATTCAAGGAAACAACATCAACTTTATTTCATATCTACTAAAATGGGTCCTTTTAACCTTCAAAAAGTTACATTTACCACAGATTCCTTTTTATTGCAATCATATAATATATTTCCCAGTTTTATTACCTGCATATAAATCCACTACAGTCTCCCCTCTGCAGTCAAATCCAGCCACCCGGAGCTTCTCTGTTATGTTTCCAGCCGAGAACATGCACTTGGTAACATCAAACTCATAACTGAAACAAATGTGAAGCACACATTTTAGTCTAATAAGCATGTCCCCAAGTGCTGAAATCTATGACTGATTATTACCTAATGCCATTGTCTACATGTTTGACCCAGCTGTGCTCTCCGAGCAGCATCGTCACCTCAGGAGATCTAAATCCATCTCTTGAAATTCTCCTGATCTTTGCTAGGCGCTTTGCTCCCAGTCTTCTGGCCACTGTGCTCCAAAGCTGTTGATCTAAATGAGTTAAAAAGTAGCCAGTGAGCCTCCTCGTGAATTATTCTGTACATTTAGCGGTAAAGTAAAACGTGGTGCAGTTTGAGATCAGTAGCTACCGATGTTTTCCCATAACGGCAGAAGAAAACAAGTGTCTCCCAGCAGGACTAGGTCTCCATGTCGCTGGAAACTGCGAGGGATGTCTCTCTTCAGCTCTTCTGTCCATCTTTCACCATGAGACTCCAACAGGTCCTGGAGGACTTTCTCCAGTTTACTACCACTCGCCCTTCCTTTCCCTTTTTTTGACTGCAGAGCAGACTGTGATGAAAGCAGGACAGAAATGAAAATATTCACAGAAAAAAAAAAAATCACCTTTTACATTTTAAGGTGCAGTATCAGTAAAGCTTGCTGTTAATAATAATTCATTCAGCTTTAATTACCTTACTCCAAACTACTTCAAAATCATCATCTGAAGCCACAGTGGTCCTGAAAGACTGAAGATCGAGCTGGGACAAACAGGATGCTAAAATGGGGAGGAGGACTGTCCCATCTGAGTCTTTCACTAAACTCAAACTCAGGTCCAGAGCCCCTTTGGACTGTAGTGACCTCCTGTGAAATAAAATGCATGTTAAATATAATGTCAAATTCAATTCAATTCAATTCAATCTTTATTGGCAGACTTTATGTCCATAAAAACAAGACAGAAACACATCAAAGTTATTTCAAACAGGCTGTTTGTTCAAATCAATCAGCTCCTTTTGATCTAATGCTAATTGCTAGCTGCCGTTGATAGCAATGACCAAATCGTGGATTACCTGAGCTTCTGAGCCTGACACTGAGGCACACGAAGGCATGGCACACCGTCCATCTGTAAATAAACAAATCAGCTCTATTTACGTTTAGATTACGATGCAAACAAAGACCAGATGCACGTCAACAACCGGGTAGAAGCTTCCCTACTAGACGCAACCCGTGTTTCCAGTCGGACTGTTATGCCAGACGGACAACTCCGAAAACAAGCAGTTGATAAACCAAAAATATATTAACAAAAACAGCACCCGGCGAACACATTTTTAATTTTTTTTGTCTCTATTTCTTTTACTGCTAGAAAACTACAGCTTTTCCTCAATTAAACGAGGCCAAAAACCATTAAGTGATAGCCAGTTTTGGAGAAGTTGCTCACGGAGCCCAATAGATGGAGACAAAAGGAAGAGAAATCAGAGGGTAAGTTGCGGAAGGTAAAGCAACTTTAATGTAAAGCAGACTAAAAATCCTCCAGAATCAATCTAAAACTAATATCTATAATAAGATATAAAAATTCAACTGTTTGGGTTTATTCTTAGTGGGCCTTTATTTATATTGTATTTGTGTAATATAGTCAAGTTATTTTGTAGGCGTTTACAAATGCAACAGAAGCATCAGTAGACACGTGTACTTAAAGGCCACTTTATTAGGTACACTAGTACCTGCAGACCTTTGCAAACCTTCATGGTATAGATTCACCAAGGTGCAGGAAATATTTGTCAGATATTTTAGTTCATGTTGACATGATAGCGTCACACAGTTGCTGTTGATTTGTTGGCTGCACATTCATGATAGGCTGTGGCATTTAAATGACGCTCACTTGGTACTAAAGGGTCCAAAGTGTGCCAAGAAAATGTCCCCCCACACCACCATTACCAGACTGAATGATTGATACAAGGCAGGATGGATCTATGCTTCCATGCTGTTCAAGCCAAATCCTCCTCCTGTCATTTGAAGGAGCAGGCACCGTTTTACCATTGCTCTGTTGTCCAGTTTTAGCAAGTCCCTGCAAAATGTCACCTGCTTTTCTATTCTGATCGGAGTGGTACCCAGTTTGGTCTTCTGCTGCTGTAACCATCTGCTTCGCTGTTCAACATCTTGTGTTTGGAGATCCTCTTATGCAAAGCTTTGTGGTAACAAGTGTTTATTTGAATGGTTATGAGTTAATATTGCCTTTCTGTTAGCTTGAAGCAGTCTGGCCATTTTCCTCTGACCTCTGGCATAAACCAGTGAACTGCCACTGACAGGATATTTTTTTCTTTTTCGGACCATTCTCTGTAAACCCTAGAGATGGCTCTGCAGCAAAATTCAATTTCTGAAATACTCAAATCACCCATCTGGCACCAACAACCATGTCACCTTCAAAGTCACTTAAACCTCCTTTCTTCCTCATTCTTATGTTTGGTTTGAACTTCAGTAGGTCTTCTGGACCATGTCTACACGCCTAAATGCAGTTAAGTTTTTGCTAAACAAATTTAAGGACAAATTTGACTGCAAATTTGGGAAAATGATAGTATGCACCTGTGAGATGTCCATTGGCCAGGAATTCCAAATTTCTTCTATTAGCAGGGCTGCAGTCCCAAAAACAACTACAATTTTATATGAGTTGTATTAATAGCATTTTGGAGTATCTGTTTGTTAGTGCCCAAAAGATGGAGGCAGTATTGGCATGCCTATCTCAGACAATTTTCCTTTTCTTCCGAGATTACGTTATCTGTCTATTAGTGTGTATGACATTAGATCAGTCATGCCACCACTGAGCGTTCCCCTTAAAAAAAGATGGGCCCTGTTTGACAGATCTAACGAAAAGTGTCATCTGAATTTAAATTCAGACTTTAAGCTGTCTGCAGCTGGGGGTGCATTTGAACTTGAGAGGGCGGGTGGGCCAATGCTACATCTGACACGTCATCCATCATCTCTGTGTTTGATGAGGTGTTGGAGATGTTATCATAGCAGCATGAGTGAACAGAGGCAATATTGTAGCATTGTAACATATATATATATATATATATATATATATATAATTTTAAAAAAATGTTATATATTTGTTATATAAATATTAATTTGTTATATAAATAAAACACTAATAATTCTTATGAAGAAATACACACCTAATGAAAATGCTGTCCTTCTCCTGACTGACTATGAGCACAATCAACAACATCTATTCAAAACTTCAAAACTCTATCAAACTATAATTATCCATAACTGTAAATTTGCAGTTTTGCACATTTATATTAACCTGTAAATTTACTATTTTTGTGCGTATCTCTACATATATGCCTTAGTATTGCATACTCTGTATATATTATCACTGTGACAGTGTTGCAACTATTTGCACTTTAAATTCTGATTACGCCCACACATAAGCTACAAGATCTACAAAACACTGTTTTACTTATTACTACTTTCTTTTTAGTGTTTTTAGTTGTGTGAAGGGAACCTGCAAAGTAAGAATTTCATTACTCTGCGTAACCTTTTGTGTTTTGCAGTGTACGTGACAATAAACTACTTGAATCTTGAATCTTAAATCAAGGAAGAGAGGTCATTGACATTAATCAGTCTGGTAATGGTTACAAAGCCTCTTATAAGGCTTTGGACTCCAGCAAACAGCGAGAGCTTTAGCCTCCTAAGACCTGAACTCTTCCATGGCATGCATTTTTAATTTCTCTTTGATATTTGGGCTGATTAGGACCTGATGAATATAAAAACAAAGAATTACCAGATTTTTTTTTTTTTTTTTTACCTAATTTTTGTTTCTAAGAAAAATGAGAGCCACATATGAGGATATTCATTTAAAATTTCGATAGAACAGTTGCAGTATAATGTCCTCGTAAGTGGATATCAGGCCCTTGTAGAGCAAGATTTAGTATTTTGGTCTAAATAACCCAAAATGTGATGTCCACATATGTGGACGTCAGGTCCTAGGAGGTTAATCCACAAATGGATACACCTTTTAACTGTTAATAATTTAATAATCAAAAAGAGACGGAGCAAAAAATTGCATCCATGGGAGAGCTCCAAGGAAAAAAACCACTACTTACCAAAAAGAACATATAGGCTCACCTCACATATGCCAAAAACATCTTGATGATCCCCAAGACTGTTGGGAAAACAAACTGTGGACTATTAAGACAAAAGTTTAACTTTATTGAAGGTTTACATCCTGTTACACCTACAATTTCATAAAGAGAGCATCATAACAAAGGTCAGACATGGTGGAGGTAGTGCCAGACCATCGCTGCTTTTCTGCTTCAGGACCTGTTTGACTTGTTTTACTTGATGGAAGCGTGAATAGAGAGCAGATCTCTACCAGAAAATCATGAAGGAGAATGTCAAGCCGTCAGTTTGTGCCCTGAAGCTTAGCGTACTTGGGTTATGCATCAGAAAAAATGATCTGAAACACAGCTAGTCCACCTCTGAATGACTAAAATAAATAAACAAATAAGTAAAAATGAAGGTTATGGAGTGGCCTTGTCAAGGTCTGACCTTAAATCAGATGCTTTGGCGTGACCTTAAACACTTCATGTTGGAAAACCCTCCATGGAGAGGGTTTATATATATATATATATCGCATTGATTTTAAGCTTTGCAATTAGCTTGAAACACACAAGTGTGAAAAATATGCCAAAAATAATAAATGAGGGCGGGGACAAAGAGTTTTTCACACCATTGTGCACACAGGCGTATTAATAATATAGCTTACATACACAGTGCAACAATTCCTGTGGTCAAATCTTCAAAATGTATCGGTTTGTTTTAGCCTGTCAAACTGTCTGTATGATGCAGAAGAAATACGATTAAAAACAGACCTCTGCATTGTTTATCTCTGCTCTCGTGGGGGATCAATCCCTCTGGTTTCCATTACCAATTAACTCCAATAAAACACTTCACGCTCTGCTCCCTTGGGCAATACGATAGGCGAGCAATTTAGCATATTAATGTGATCAACACAGGACCTGTTCCTGTGTCCTTTGTTCCCTTTTTCTTTCACCTGTCCTGCCCCTTTAAGATTAGATATTTCAATCTAGGCGTGTTTCCTGCTACCATTGACTAAAACCGAGAGCTGGCAGGCTGTAGGGGGGAAAGGCATATCCAAGAGCTTTACATATTCCTGGACACACTGGCGATTCTTTCTTATTTTTTTTTTTCTTTAAATGAAGGCTGTTGAACCAGCAGTGCAGTCACAGTCTAACAGCCTGTTTGTGAAGACCCAGCAGCTGCTCGCCCGTAAAACCATTTATGATTTATCGAGATGATATGAATGTCAGTCGGTCAAGGTCCGCTCTTCCGATTGAAAAGCTGGATTTTCAGGTTTCTGGTGGGAATCATCTGCTGCACGCATTTGGATGAATTTCTCCTGATTTCCAGAGGTGCCCGGACCGTGAAGGGATTGAGGTTGTTTGAGCGCAGAGGGAGGCTCACTGTGGGAATGACATGCTGCAGTAAAGACGGGAAATAATATGGATTAGAAAACGCCGATGATGTGACTGCGACACTTTGAATGGTCAGAAAATGCTTCCCAGCCGCCACTTAGCGCACGAGTCTTTAATATCACTCATTAACTGGACTGTTTTTGACTAAATAGTATTTTGGGAAGGGGCTACATGTGCGCAGATCCCCTCCCGAGCCATCGGCGTATTGTCTGAATCCCTTTGCAGTATATATACTTGTATTGACCCAAAGAAGCGCACACTGCTGATCTGAGAAGAGGACACCATGTCGGCGGTGATGATAACACGAAAGGTGCGAAAATGGGAGAAGCTCCCGGGGAAAAACACTTTCTGCTGCGACGGACGGGTGATGATGGCCCGGCAGAAGGGCGTCTTCTACCTGACCCTCTTCCTCATCACCGGGACCTGCGCCCTCTTCTTCGCTTTCGAGTAAGTCATACCCCGTGGCAAAGTTATCAGCTGCTCCAAAAAGTGTTTGTAACTCCCTTTAGGCTTCCAGTTCCCAAAACATCGAGTCTTATAGCCTTATCCAACATTTGTCAGCTTCAGAGGTGCATAAAATCAGTATAAACTCACATAATAAATATTTTAGCTTCGATCAAAAAACATCCATCCCTGCTTATTTACGCGTTAGAGATGTCCGCTCTGAAAATATAGGTTATTTGATCATGAAATGCATTAACAATTAACAATTTATTTTGATTGATTGATCTGGA